ACATGGTGGAAGTCTTCCCTATTTATACTTTTTTCAGCTCTTTGTCTCCCAAATTTGGAACGAGACTTCCAGGCCTTCTGAGGAAGAAGGCCTGCGTGCTGGGACAGGGCCGTGAGACCATATCTCAAGGCCTGGCCTGGTGCCAGCACTGACAGCTCTGTCTGGGGCATAGTTTATGGCCTCTCTGGAGTGGGGTGACACGCCAGGACCTGGCGCTGATGGCAAAGGGACGGTCCAATCTGTGCTCATAGCACCCAAACTGCTGCTCTGTGTGGAGACTCACAGTCTCTCCCAGCTCTGCCATGTCGAAGGCTCCGGGAACACTGCCTAGGTCTGTTCTCACACGGGCGGGGCTCGGGGGGCAACTGCTAAGTCACCAAGCCGGTCTCCTGGTAACGGGGACCCAAACTGACTTCAGAACTGGGGCGCAGCCATGTCAATACCACAAGCTCAGCTTAAGGCCTGGTGCCCTCTGGACTCCCTGAGGCCGTCTCTGCAGCCTGACCCCTCGGAAGGAGAGCAGGTCCCAGCCGGGTCTCCATAGGCTGCTCTTCCGTAGACACCAAGCACTTTTCATTTAAGTTGCTAACATTTTGCACAAGTCCCAGGAGGATGAAGGAAACCACATCCCAAAGAACGTGAGATGTAACCCTTTCTCTGAAAAGTCCAAGGAATTCCAAGTTGCAGCTGTAAGTGACCTAATTCTGTACTTAAACAAATAGTTTCCTATCACAAAAGTTTTGAAAGCTTGCAAAAACACTGAGGCCAAATAATTTTTCAACTATGATATGTACATTTTTTCCCCTCAGCGCTACAAAACTAACAGTTAAGAATCCTCCGTTTCTCATAGAACTTAGGGATTCTTTTGGTTCATTTTAAGCCACATCTTTCATATTCAGAATTTCCTGGTTTACTTGGACATAGTTTTCAGAAGTCTGAACAAACAGTTCACCTAATGATTCTGAAATGTGTGCCTGTGGAGAGAACTGCTTGCCTAGGAGATCCTTCTTCAATAATTCAGATATTTTAAATGATCATGTCCAAAGCAATTTTTCCAAAAATCTAATAAGTTACAAAACTAGAAATATAACCGAGCCTCCACAAAAGAGTTCCAATCCTCCGTGAAAACAGACCTCGCATTCTTAATCCCTTGTCCAAAAAGAAAATTTGGACCAAGTATTGACGTTTTCCACCAAGAAAGCCACAGAGCCGCAAATGGTTCTCATTTACGCCACTCCTGGGACGTACAGCTCAAATAAAAAATTTCCTGAATGCCCCACATTTCAGATGCAATTTGGAATGCTGGGGACTCATAATATTATGCAGGACACAGGACGATCTCCTCTCACCAAGTCCGAGCTTCTGGAATGCGACCCCCAGGAGACTGCCCCCACCAATGGGGAGGCTGGCCGCTGGCAGCCCAGGGAACAGTTGGGACCCAACTGTTCCGCTCTCTGCCCCCAGGGTGGATGGGAATTTGAGCCCTGAGGGATCTGCTGCTGGAGCTACTGTTCAGGTAGGAAAAACGCTACCCTGGGGGAGCGAACACAGACCCACATTTTGATCCACAGCAAGAGATGTGGTCACAGTGCAGGCAAAGGGTAAAACGGGGTTTGAGGAATTAAGGCCCTGTCATCACTTCCGCACCAAAGATGCTGCGGGGGCCTCTGAACAGACGCAGATTCTAACTGGGTTCAAGCTTGAAGCTTCCCGGAGCCTCTGGCTGGTTTGCGGTCCATTCTGGTCCCGCCCACCTCAACCCTGTGAGGTTGCACAGTCACCTCTTGGAGCACTGACGGTGGGAGAGTCGGCTTCTGTAGGCCCCTGTTTCCTCCAAGAAAAGAAACACCACTGATATAGAGGAAGAAAAGCACTACCGGGCGCACTGAACAGACCTGGGCACTGTGTCCGTCTGGAAAACCATAGTTACTCACAAAGAGAGACCTGCCAGAGCCCGGTCTCAGCCGGTCTCAGTGGCTCATCTGGTTGGAGCATCATCCCACACATCAAAAGTTTGTGGGTTCGATTCCCACTCAGGGCACATATCTAGGTTGGGGGTTTGATTCCCCAGTCGGGGAATGTACTGGAGGCAACTGATGGATGTTTCTCTCACATCAATATTTCTCTCACTCCCTTCTACTCTTTCTAAAATCAGTGAGTATATCCTCGGGTGAGGATTTAAAAATAATATTTTTTTTAAGAGAGAGAGACCTGTGGGATAACAAGAGCATAGAGGGGGCAACTGTGGGAAGTAAAAGATGGAGACAAACACGCACTGACAGAGCATCCCATTCGCTAAAGGGATCGCTCTCTCTAAGGAAAAAGCAGGAGGGGAGCAAGGATGGCCTGCAGGACTCTCACGCAAAGCTCAAAGTTCAGCACGGGACGCCCCAAAAGACTAGGGCAATGGAGAGAGCTCCCGATGCTAAAGAAAAAAACAAAACAAACAAATAACAAAAAAACAGGAACGAGGAAAAAATTCCTCAACTAAGGGAACTCGAGGAACGCTTAAAATCATTGCTTAAGCATAAGAAGAAAAGAATCTAATTTGAGCCCTAACCGGTTTGGCTCAGTGGATAGAGCGTCGCCTGCAGACTGAAGGGTCCCAGGTTCGATTCCGGTCAGGGGCATGTACCTTGGTTGCGGGCACATCCCCAGTAGGAGGTGTGCAGGAGGCAGCTGATCCATGTTTCTCTCCCATCAATGTTTCTAACTCTCTAGCCCTCTCCCTTCCTCTCTGTAAAAAACCAATATATATATATATATATATATATATATATATATATGTATTTTTTTAAAAGAATCTAATTTGGAAAGAATAATATTATCTAAAACCCAATAATAAAAAACCTATAAAACAGGGTAGCCAAGTAAATGTCATAGCTCTGTAGGCAGCACTGAAATCAGTAATATTTACAAAGAAACCCAGACGGAGTCTATAAATTAAAATTATGACAGAACTGAGACCTCGTGAGATGAGTTTGCCTCAGGAAACTACAAAAACAGATAAGATACCTGAAAAGAATGAATGTCTCCACATTAAAAAAAGATCCGTCTAAATCGGTGGCTGGATCAACTGGATTAATGTGTGTCATAAATAATTTTAAAAAGTGGTTTGAATATATCCGGCTGCCAAAAGATCCCATTCTCCACTCTAGGAAGAGCCATCTCTCATTTTTCCATACAAAAAGAGACAGTAATCACACTGGGTATCCGACTCTCATTTGTACTGAAAAAATGTGGACAGCCAATGACATCAGGAAATGAAATTTCTCCAGGACTGTGGCTTCTGGTAAATGTACAACCTAATTCTGTGCTTTCTGCCTCTTGCCACTGTTGGTTTCATACTCACAACCAGTTGACATCAGCATGATGCTCAGCCAATATTAAACTCTCAGAAATTTTATGAATAAATGACATGATGTGTGCGAAGCTTCTAGAACATCACATGCGGTAAATACTCAACGGAATGCTGGCTCCCTTACTCTTTTTCCCTCTTCTGCAGTTTAAGATCCAGGGGCTGGGTTTTCACGTGTGATCAGTCAGTTTCTCAGCAGAATATTTCTTTACTAGAGGCCCGGTGCATGAAATTCGTACACGGGGGGTGGGGCGGGGGGTCCCTCAGGCCAGCCTGCACCCCAATCCAGGACCTCTCAGGAGATGTCCGACTGCCAGTTTAGGCCCAATCCGGCAGTCGGACATCCCTCTCACAATCCTGGACAACTGGCTCCTAAACCGTTCACCTGCCTGCCTGCCTGGTCACCACTAACTGCCCCCCCTGCCAGCCTAATGGCCCCCAACTGCCCCCCCTGCTGGCCTGGTCGCCCCCAACGGCACCCCCCTCCACCAGCCTGGTCACCCCACACAGCCTGCTGTTCAGTTGTTTGGTCATCCCTCCCTAACCCCCTTGCCGGCCTGGTCGTAGGCAGCCATCTTGTGAGGTCGTGAGGGTTAATTTGCATATTACCTCTTTATTATATAGGATTCTCTTTATCACCTAAGTCCAGCTCACAGTTTGCACTGGAGCCTAACGTTATAACCAGCGCTATGCTAGAAGACAGGAACACAGAATTCAAAAGCCATGGCTCCCTCCTAGGATCATTATTTTACGTGTCAACTTGCTGGGCCCTGGGGTGCCCAGGAAGTTGTCCACACATTCCCTGGGGTGTTTTGCATGAGCCTGACACCGAAGCAGATGGAGGTGAATAATGGTGAGTTACACAGATTGCCCTCCACGGTGTGGGTGGGCCTCGTCCAATCCGTTAATGGCCTGAGTGGAACAAAGGGTGCTCCTCCCCCGAGTAAGGAGAATTCTCCCGCCTCATGACCTTCCACCTGGGACACCTCCCCTTCTGGTCCCACAGCCGATGACGGGACGTCAGCTCCCCCTGGTTTCGGAGCAGCCTGTGGCCTCCGGACTCAAGTGGGCCACGGGCTCTGCAGGTGTGGGTCTTGCCAGCCTCTTTCCCCCACAAGCTAGTTCCTTATAACAAATCTCTGAGCCTCTCTGTCCCTAGGTAGGCAGGTGGGAAGTTAGGCAGACAGACAGACAGAGAGATATACACCCTCCTGGCTGCTTCTCTGGAGAGCCCTGGCTCCCACACTCTCCTAAGAAGCTCAAAGCTGTGGGATGCTCCTGAGTATGCTTCCTCCAGACAGCCTTGCCCAAACAGCAACAGACCATCGTGCGAGGAGCCAAACGCGCTAGCAAATTAAAAACCGATCGATAAACATCCACGGGATGAATCAGCAGCGCTTGACAGCAGGAGCCGTCAAGGCAGTATCAGAGCATGTAGCTCATGCCCTCCAGGTTCTCAGAACGCCGGGTCTGGGCCAGGTCGCCCCTGCACATGCCCGCGAGCTGCGATGGCTCTGCTTTTATGAGTTCCTGGCTGTTGATGAAGCAGGTCACCGGGGAATCAGCTGAGTGCACGGAGCCCCGTTACTAAGGAGGTGAGCCCCTCGCTGAGCACCGTACGAACGGGAGGCAACAAGCTCACCTGAATGGCAGCCAAGTTCTTCTGCTCCTGCGACGGGGCCTCGTGCACGAAGCGCAGCCAGTTGGAGTGGCGCGGGTTGGTGGCGTCCAGAACGTACAGGACCTCCCCCTGGCTCCCGCGGACCTGGAACACAAAGGCCGAGGTCCCGGAGGTCAGCATCAGCTGCTCCGAAGCCACCGGGGTCGGAACACGGCGTCGTACCCTAAGTGTACCCCCTGCCTGTTGGCAGGTGTTGAACAGACGCCGGTTAACACCCCTGCTTCCCCGGAAACACGCGAACCAACCGGGCCCGCTGCTCCGCCTGGCAGGCCCCCGGTGGCTCACAGCGTCATCCGCTCTCAGGAACCCCACACCGGCCGCTCTCCTCCGGTCGAGATGATAGATTCCTCGGTTTATCTTTTCTTAAAATACATTTTATTGATGTCAGGGAGGAAGGGAGAGGAAGCGAGAGAGAGAGAAACACCAATGATGAGAGAGACTCACAGATCAGCTGCCTCCTGCACGCCCGCCCCCTACTGGGGATGGAGCCCGCAACCCGGGCCTGTGCCCTGGCCGGGAATCGAACCGTGACCTCCTGGTTCATAGGTCGATGCTCCACCACTGAGCCCCGCCGGTGGGCTGGTAGGTTTATCTCAGTAGGTGCGTCACAATTGCAGTTGTTGAGAGAGAACTGTAACTGCAGCCCACCCTCTGTGCTCCACAGAAGAGGGGGTACTGCTGGGCTCCCCAGATGGCGGATGGGGAGCTGGAAGGACCCTTTCCATTGCTCTTCATACCTGCTTACTGGATTCTTTCCCGTGTGGAGGTTGCTGGCCTTGCCAGTGGACCCCACACCCGCCAGCCATCGTGTCCCGTTAACCAGCTCAAGCCGGGTCCACTCTGTCTCTCCCTGCCTGGCTTGTGGCTTGCTGAGGACAGTGGGCTGGTTTTCGGTTTCATGCCATGAGCCCACCTCATCAGACCAACTCGGCTTTCCATTGGCGGGCGGGGCACCTGCTGAAGGAGCAGGCGCTCCACTGAACATTCTGGAATCCGGGTTGTTCAAATCTAGCTTCTCCAGGACCTGGCATTGCAGGTTCTGGGCACTTGTTCTGCTTCATAAAACACCCGCCAATCTGTCCCCTGCGCACTGCGTGTTGCCACGGGAGCCGCATCCAGGGAGGAGGGACGAGGAGTGAGTGACCAGCCCTCGGATCCAGCGCCAGGCAGCAGAGCGCTAAGTTCATCTTGGCAGACTGGGGCGGGAAAAGCACGTTCCAGAGTCTTCTGATCTTACTGTATCAGATAAAGCAGAACCAGCCAACGAACTTATCTTCATGATACATTTGGACCATCGTTCATCATTCGACAAATACGTGAGTCTCTTGCTTATGGCCGGGACACTCGCCACGAACGAGGCCGGGGAAGCACGAGGCCCCACAGCGGAGGGACCAGCGCAGACCACAGCCCCCGGGGAGGGACACGCTCCACGACCCACAGAGCAGGAGCAGCAGAGTGAGGGCTGAGGGCTCGTCGGAGCAGGTGACCCGGGGCGGCTCTGAAGGAAGGACGCTCCAGTGGAGGGCGGGGAAGGAGCCAGGAAGGGGAGCGGAGGGACGAGGCAGGGAACAGAGGGACGAGGCAGGTGGAAAGACCCTATTCTGGGAACGGCAATGAGGCCCCGCTGGAACAGAAGGGGCGCGGAGAAAGTGGTGGGCACCGAGATCAGCCGGACGGAGATCAGATGGACGGGCCAAGCTCAGACCCTGCACGGCCACAGGCCGTCTCCTGAGGCCACTCCAGCGGTTCAATTACCTGCTCACAGGACTGGCATCTCCTGCCGGCCCACAGCTCTCTGCTCCTGGGAATGTCTGACAGAGACGTCGGGAGAGAATCTAGGCTAGCCTTTCTCCCTCCAGAGGAACCACATCCACGCCCACCAGACGGACAGCTGTGACTCAGGTCTCCCTTTACCTATTTTCATCTGATACCGAACCCTGGGGCAACAGTGGGACATTTTTAAAGTCTCACAAACAAAGACGACAAAGCTCCTCTCGGATCCCATCCCAGCCTCTGACCAGCCTTTGCAGCCTATTAAGGTTCACCTGCCAAGCACCGTCTCTCGTATTTGAATTTTCACAGGAATGAAACGTGTTGGCTACTGGCCTGCTGCGGGCGTGGCCTGCAACGCAGCCACATTCTCGTCCTGCCGTCAACCCGCCGGGTCCCAGACTCTGTCTGACGGGCACCGGCTTCCTCCGCCAGCGCCGCAGAGAGTCGGCTACCGCGGGAGGGCGGGTGGATGAGGCCCCACGGGAGATGGGAGCCCTTGTGCTCAGCACGGCGCACAGATCGCTGTGACTGTGACGCTTTACAGCAAACGACGCCATCACTGCCCGGGAACGCGGCTGTCCTGCCTGTTAGATGCCGGCGTCACTGGTCCAGGGTCCGGGGGAAGTGCTCCCTGGGGCTGTTCCTCTCCGGCCGCAATGACCAGGACTGAACACAGTCACCGGTGGTCTGTCTTCCTGCCCAGCAAGGACAGAGGACATCACCACAGACTCAGCTCAGGAAGAGGACAGACACCCTGACAGGTAAGCGAACGGAAAAAGTAGAAATAGGTCATCAATACAAGTTTTCGTAAATGTCGGTCTTGTCTCTGTGAAATTGGGTCAACCACAAACCAGGGAGCACGTTTAGTGTTTGGGTGGCTGGGTGTCCCAGGAGCAGGGCTGCCATGTCACAGACGTTATTTCCCTTCAATGATTCCGAAGGCCTGAGATGTCTCACTCGCTGCATGCAGGCCACCAGGCTCCCGGGGCAAAGCCAACGGGACAGACTTGTCCCCAACGTGACTGAACGTAACCGGGAGAACTCGATTCCACGAACAGTAAAATGAACGGCAGGGACACACACTCAGTCCCCAGCACACGCACGGACGCCCTCAGCGAGGAACCACAGAATGCGAGGCTGTGACTCGCTGGTAACAGCAAGGCTGTGTGTCCGCGAGGAGCGTGATGTCTTTCGAGTGTAAAATGTCGTATTTTCTTCCTTAAATTACAGGCGCTCTTTGCCGTTGGGTGTAACGAGGCAGAAGCCTCTGCTGGATGCTGAGTTAACCAGAACTCAGGGTATCTTCGGGAGCACGGGACACCCAGTGAGTCAGGCAACCGATTCTGATGCAAGCCAGAGGGGTGCGTCCACACACCCGCAAGCTCATCCCTAGGAAACGGCCGTGATCTGTCATCGCTAAGCAAAGGGCATGAGTCTTTCCCTGCTGATTTTTCAAAGGATTCTGGCTAAGTCTTGCTTAGATTCTATACACACACACACACACACACACACAAACACACTCACACACACTCACATAGACACACACTCACACATACACACTCACACACACACTCATAGACACACACACTCACACAGGTACACACACACACTCACATACACACACACACACACTCACACAGACACACTCACTCACAGACACACACACCCACACACACTCTCACACACACACCCTGACACACACACACTGGCATACACACACACTCAAACACAAACACACACACACTCACACACACACACCCAGGCACACACACTCACCCACACACAGACACACACACGCACACACACATACACACACTCTCACACACACACAGACCCAAACACACACACACCTAGGCGCGCACGTGCACACACACACACACATCACTGCAGCCTCTCCCCTTGCCCCCCCCTGCCACCCTGACTATCAAATAATCCTGACCCAGGGCCTCCCTGCCCTTAGATGGGGAAGCAGCGAAGGGAGGCCACAGGCTTTCCGGGCCCCTGTCCCGGCGCTGAGCAGCCACGAGAACCCAGCACACACAGCGTGGGATAACTTAGGGGCTGCGGGTACAGCGGCCTCCTCTCCAGTACACGCGTCCCAGGCTGGAAGGGCCGCAGGCTGGCACCTGGTGGTGACAATGGGGACCTGAATGGAAAGCCAGGGCCCACGCTCTGATCACTGTGGGCACCACGCCCTCTCCCGGAGCCCAGCCAGGGTCCCCTGACCTCTCGGGAGGGACGACAGTCTCTGCCCGTGGCCTCACTGACACGGTGCGAGCCTCCGATGGAAGGAGGTGCATGACCACTGCACACTATGGGCATTCTGCAATCATGTGTGTAAGTGAACTGAGGGAGGAACCCAGGGCTCACAGGGGCTCACAGGCACCTTAGAGAAAAACGGGCTTCAACACACGGCGGGGGACACGTGCCATCTTCCTGCCACGTCAGCTTTTCCAAGGAACACATGTGACGGACCCTGAACACCGCTCCTCAGACCCAGGTGCACCTCAAACGGCTTCGCTGAACCCTGGCGCGAGGACAGGGCCATCACGAGGCAGGAGCAACCCCGGTGCCACTCGGCTGAATGGGCACTCCTTGTGCCAAGTTCTAACATGCTTCCGCCAGCTCCCGCTCTGGCCACCTACGTGGCTTTAATTTCTCTTCCACATGAGCCCTCCAAGCTCTGAAGACAAGAGTCAGGACAGGAAATCTCTGGAAACAGTTGATGGTGTAAAAAGCAATGACAATCTCAAAGATCCCAGCGAGCAAGTTCTGATGGTGTTTTTTAAAAAAAGATGCTTTGGCCTGGCCGGCATGGCTCAGTGGTTGAGCACTGACCCATGAACCAGGCGGTTGCGGTTCGATTCCCGGGCAGGGCACATGCCCAGGTTGCGGGCTCGATCCCCAGTGGGGGTGATGCAGGAGGTGGCCGATCAATGATTCTCTCTCATCATTGATGTTTCTCTCTCTCTCCCTCTCCCTAAAATCAATAACACAAAGCCTTTTTTTAAAGAGGCTTTGTGTCAGAAAACTTCAGGGCAGAGGTTATAGAAACACTGAGCAGCGAAGAGCCCTGTGCAGGGCGCGCCGAGAAAAAGTGGAAGCACAGGCACTGCCCTCGGGCCCTGCTCTCCACACCCAGTCCCACGCTGCGGGCATCTCTCCTAAGCACACGGTTTTTCTGTCACTTTTAACATTGAATCTGCCCGACCCATTTAAATTAATTGTATTCCCTTCACTCACGTCTTTCAAAATGTGCTCAACTCAGTACAGAAACGAGTTCTCGGTGCAAAGATGCGCCGCGGACAGCC